TATTTTTTAAGTTGGGTCACATGATCATATCTGAGCCAGCTCGAGCCGACTTGACTTGGCTCAGCTCAGAGCTGGCTCGAGCCGGCTCAATTATGAGCTGTTCCTATCCCTAACGTAATCCATCAAGGATAATTTTTTTGGCCAAATCTTTATCGTGTGGAATATTACAATATGGTGGTTTTCCTGTTAAAAATTCGGTCATCAATATTCCAAGACTATATATATCAGCTGCCGTTGTGTATGGCATCATCCCTGATAAAACTTCAGGTGCAATGTAAGGAAAAACTCCTACAACATCACCATCTTCTGTTTTCAAAGACATATCGATAGATCTAGATAATCCAAAATCTGCTACGCGTGTGTAATAGTGCACATAACCTTTTTTATGTAGGCTACGTAAGCAACATGTAATATCGACGAGTAATACAAATTTATCGGCCCATTTAAGAGTTTGAAAATTTTTATAAAGATAGTCTTTTAAATTTCCTTTACTTGCATACTCCATTATAATTATATATTCGCTTGTTATAGGGTTCTGCGAAATTCCATGCAATCCAATAATATAATCATTTCCACTAGAATAACATGAGTGTTGTATTCGCAACTATTCAATAATAAATTTAATTAGACTAATAACCAAAGTTAGCTTTAAGACCATTCTGGATTCAAAAAAAATTGGTCTGATCTTAATCTTAAGACTGAACCAGTCTGGACTAACAAAGTCCCAAAACTATCGTCCATAATACAGTAATAGATCAGACCAAGACTGAACCAAAATAGACGAGACTATACAAGACCATTCCTAGATATAACATTATTTATTTACCTCATTTATCATATTACTAATCGCATCTTTAGGTATATGCATTTGTTTTAATGCTACTTCACGACCTTCCCAAATCGCACAATATACAGTCGCAAAACCACCATTTCCTATTTCTTTTATTTAGCTAAAACTTTTATATGGAATCCATTTAAAATTACTTTCTTTAATAAAATCATCTATTAGCTTCTTTGGATCACGTTTACAACTATTTTCACCAAATTTTAGTGTTTGTTTAACACACAAACTATTGAATGTGTGAATGTAATATTCTGGAAGGTTGGGAAGTTTTCTGCTAACGTCAATAGTTTCGGAACAATATTGTTTTAATGACTCGGTGTTGATCTGGATATCATCAAATTCTTTAATAACAGTACCCCCATTACACCAATCTATTAATTTTTCGGATATTTCTTTTGAAGTAGGTCGTTTTGAAGGTTCAGCATTTAAGCGCTGATAAGCAAGTTCCACGTACATTCTCGGTATTTCTTGTGGAACTTCTGGCCGTTTGCCATTGCAAATTTCCAAAATAAGCTCAAGATCATGTTTTCTATTCGCAAACGCGGGTCGTCCTGATACTAGTTCTAACATTATAATACCAAAACTATAAATATCTGATTCTTTAGTGTATGAATTTGTCAGGAAAACTTCGGGTGCAATATATGGAATTATTCCATACAGTTTTGATGATATGCTTGTTTCGTTGAAATCCATTGAAAATCCTATATCCAAACATGCAGAGACAAGATCATCATCTTCTACGTCAAGTAAAATATTACCAGGATGCAAGTTACGGTGTACAAATTTTGCATCATGAATAGTTTCGAGTCCATATATAATACCGCCTAAAATAACAAAGATCCTTCTCCAGGTTAGCTTTGTTCTGTGTTGTAAACTTCTTAGGTTTTCATAAAATCTCATTATTATGATGTAGTCACCGGTCTCCGGGTGCTGAGAAATTCCGTAAATTCCTACTATGAATATATTCTGGTAATCATGGATTATTTGGAGCTATGTAAATGATGAAAAATATTCATATACTTAGATTTAGGCATTACAATATAAATATAATTGTGAATTTAATTTTGCATACTTCTCTCACAAGCTCTTTACTATTATTTCGCGAATTATGTAATCTTTTTAGAACAATTTTCTTATTTGGACCCCTAACAGTCGACTTCATATGATAATTAATCATGTTTCGTGGCCCTTCCAACCAAATAGCGGATTCGATAGTTGAGAAGCCACCTTCACCAAGAAATTGGATATCCATAAATTGCGTGTATGGAATCCATTCCCATACATTCCAAAAATGCTTTGGATTAACTTGAGTTTTTCTTAAAAACTTGTCAATAACTTCATTTCCACTTGTCCATTTATTGAATTTATTTATATATTCAAGACCTTCACAATGTTGGCACCAACATATCCCGGTCCTTGTTTTACCGCAAATTGGACAGATTCCATAATCAAGCTTTTTGCACTTATCACACCAAGAACCGTTGAGTGGTTCTCTACAAATGCTACAACATCCGTACACAATTCGATTCATGATGCGCGGATATTCTCTATTAACAAATTCACGAAGATAGTCGCCCTTCATTGTGATAACTGAATATTCTAAAAATTAAAACTTTGAAAATTATAAAGTAAAAGTCATTATTGAAGAATACATATCTTGAGGTGATTTTATACGAGTAGCATCTAATGTATACAACAATATTCTCCATCAATATTTTTCAGTTGTGCCACAAACATGAAATTCGTGTGTACAATAGTCCTAATTATTATTAGTCCTTTACAGTAGTACATCTCTTTCGAATTCGTGCAACGTAAGTTGATTTCAGAATTGATCATTTATCTTTTTGGTCTATTTTAAACGAAAAAGTGTATAGAAGGCTTCATGGACTTGATCACGTTTATAAAACTAGCAAAAAAAAAAAAAAAAAAACTCATTGCTATTCATAGATTGATTGTAAAAATTTTATGAATCTTGAATTATGTTTACATATTAAATTTAATAAATTTAAACTAAGTACTTGAAATTATTAAAGTATAATTAACTTGATTACTAAAAGTATATTGTTTTTCATTAATTATATATAGTACGATACAATTGATTTCGTAATGATACTAAGATAATGTATAAAGTCCCCCATCCAGCTTAAATGGAATATTTAAATAGAAAAGCGAAAAAATAAAACCTCCGATGATAAACCGTACATGGAATCATTTCGCAGCGTGATTGTGATTAGTGTAGTGTTATTATGTATTTCTATAAGAAAGTATTCACTCTACCTTAAAATTTAATTATTACGATACTTTTTATTAAAGTTCTCAAATTCCATAATTGTGATTAGAATTCATATTATTAATTTGATTGTTCATTTGCCTATGTAATACTATAGTAATTTCAACCGGACAGCGAAGACCAGGTTAACAATCTCCGTTTGCCTTATATTGCGTACTACTATGGAATATTATTATTTGAAGTTTTTCCGGGTTAACGTTAACACCCATAACAGTATAGAAATTGTGATTTGTTTGTGCTGGTGTACGGTAATTGGTTATTGTATGTCATGAAACATTTATATATATACAGTATTTGAGCTTGAGCGTAACGTTCGTTACATTATTATACAATTCCCCAAATTCTTTTTACCGAACTTATAATTAAAAAAAAAAATCAAACCTTTGTGATAAGATTGGTGTCTTCAGTTTATAGAAAAATTGTATTTATTTGCAGCTTGCAGATGATATTGTTTCTGATTTGCTGATTTGCAATTTTGTGTTTTCTCGTGAGCCCTATTTAAACGAAAAAGGACAAAAAGTTTGTTTCTAGTGGTTTTTAGCAGAGCTTTTTAATAATAGAAGCTCCGGTAGTACTATTAATTCTGATATCCAGTGACCTTCCGGTGACAACATTGATCTAAATAATCGAATAAGATGTCATAGCTTGCAAGGGAAAGATATAAGTTTTATTTAGTTTGGTGAAACATAGCAGTGTACTTTATATTATAAAGCGATAGCATAATTCTGTAAACTCCAATTGGTATCTTTGTATGTAGGATAACTTGCTCGAACGAACTATTTAATTCCTCCCTTTGAGAAGAATCAAATGTCATAAAAATCTCAAGGAGCTGTTCTCTGGCTCAATAAATTTTCTTTTTGTTATATCTCTTCTCCTTACGCTACAATTTAATAGTAAATTGTGTTTTTTCGGTTTTATTACCAGCTTATTAAAGCGTATGGCCACAGAATCTCGTCAAATCAGAAATAATAGCATGTAAATAGTCAGTTTGTCATATTAACTTTAAACTTAATAAATACACACATTAAATTTATCGATATGTTATAACCAACTCGTTTAAAATATAACAGGAATTCATGAATACTCATAAACGTGGATTTACAGGCGTGTCTGTCGACATTAAGCCTTTTGATTGACTACACAAATATGTAGATCTATCACATAGCATGATACTAGAGTAACCGTCGTATGGGAGAGTTTCATCAATCATGTCGAGTTTAACTCTGATGGTTGACGTAAGAGAAGATGCAGGAACTTGTATTTCATGGTTATTAGGCATTTTTTATAGAAAAGAATGTATTATTTATGTATCCTTTATTTAGGGACGTTTCCAGATAGCATGCATTAGATATGAACTAGGGCGAGAGCGACCCTTTATATATGTTGTAAGTGGAAACGGAATTTAAGTGGATTCGGAATTTATATATAAAACCCCCGTTCTGGGGTTGATTT